GCCTAGCCTGTTCTGAGTTCTTGAATGATACCAGAAGAGGCATGAATATATGAAGGAAGCCTTAACACAAACGATTAGGAGTTTTAATTTGATAAGAAAAGCATGGCCCTTTATGGATACGATGCTTCATAGAGAAGAAATGGACTATGTAATCAGGGAGGCCACACAAGAAGTCCTGCTGGGAGATGACCGAGCTCCCTGGCAATGGCAGGGTGAGGGAGAGAAAAGGACGAGTCCGCAGTGCTGGGTAGCTGGGTGACCAAAACCTTCCTCAACTCACTTTTCTGAAAACCAATTTAAAAATCAGATGAAGAGAAAGTTTAATAACAATGTCTTCTTTGATTATTTCCTGATTTCAGAGTGCATAAACCAAGAGCCCAAAGATAGCAGCCCTGCAGAAGAATGCGATGGTGAGAAAAAGCCCTTGCCTCTTTGCAGGTGGTGGGGTTCAGTGCGGGATGTGTGCACCCTGGGCTGGGACGTGCAGTTTCCAGTCTGGGAAGGCCACTGTGGGAGGAGCTGGGAGGAAGACTTATATCCCGCCTCTCCCCACTCCTGGCTGTATGACCTTTAGCAGGCAACCTTGCCTCTCCAAGCCTCAGTGTCATCATTTCGAAATGGACATAATAACTAGACCTGCCTCACAGGGCTATTGGGAGCATGCTTAGAAATAAATTCCTTATCCCAATGCCTGGGAAACAGCAAGCTCTCCATAGATAAAAGCTATTTATTATTGTTTTCTGCACATACAAACTAAGCAAAAAGTTGCATGGAATTGCCAGGTTTTTTTTTTTTTTTTTAAACTTCCTGTGTGTAGAGGTCTCCTTTTTCTAGAATATGCACACCCCACCATCCCTGGGCTGGGACTTTTGCCTGTGATGATCTGCGCATGTGTCCATGGCCTGGGCTGCACAGCCCCTGTGTGTCTGCATTCTGGCAGCTCCAACATAGCACGTTTACCTCAGATTGTGGCCCCCTACAGATTGTGACAGCTGTGTGATGACCCTCTTGAATGACCTGGCCACCATGGGCGAGGAGCTCCGCCTGGTGAAGTCTCAGCTGCAGGGTCTGAGTGCCAGTGCTGGGACCCTGGAGCAGATGAGGCACCTGGAGGCCCAGGCCAAGGATCTGAGGGTGAGTGCCCCGTTCCCCCAACTACATGCATGGTGAGTAGATGCCGTAGGAAGGGGGAAGAGGCTAACTCCTTCTAAGGTTCAGGGGGTTTCCTCCTTCCTCTGATCCAAGTGCAGATTAGATTTTTACTGGTAGAAAGGATTTGTGAATACATAAAACTAATACTTTTTGCGTGAACATCTTTTACTTCCTTGATGTTTCTGGGCTAATTTTTCTCATGGAGCCTTTGTTTAGTTCAATGTCCAGCATTCAGAAGACTCAAACACAGATTTGTGTTAAATTGGTATTAATTCTTTAAATGTTTGATAGAATTGTCCAGTGAGCCTAGAATTTTCTTTGTTAGATTTTTTTTTTTTCCAGTTTTTGACCTTGGCTGGGTTTGAACCCACCACCTCCAGTATATAGGGCTGATGCCCTACTCCTTTGAGCCACAGCGCCACTCTAGAAGATTTTTTTTTTAATAAACCTTAAATTCAATTGTAAAAGATATGAGATATGAGATATGAGACTAAAACCAGTTTACATGATGAGGGTTCTAGAAATCAAATCAAAATTAAATGCTGAAGATCGTGTTTTATCCACCAGACCTCTTATGCAGCTGTTCTGCTGACATTCTATATAGTAATGTGTCACAGTTTCCCTATAGTAAAATTAAAATGAAACTGTCATTTTGTCATATCATACCATGTAAAAATTCAGTGGGAGTAAATACGAGAAAGGAAGTAACGTTTCTGAGTGCTCATGTGCCCGTGATATTTTAGGATACTTTAGCCCACTTAGCACTGAAATGAACCTGGCAGCTAAGCTTTATAATCCCCAGTTTCTGTTGGTGGAGTAAGACTTTGTTAGTGAGGCTCATCTACTAAGTGGTAGAATTAGGGTTTGAATTAAACTCTAAAGCCTGCATTCTTTTACCCAACACTGGCTCTGACTTGCACATGGAAGCAACAGTATCATTTTTTCTTGTAAAATCTTTCAAGATATTAACACCTCCCCCCCCCCAATTGAAAGTAACCATTGGTGTAGATATAACATACAGCAACGTTAGTGTCTAAAAGTCATGAGTCTGTTTAGTACTAAACAAAAGGACAAGGGACCTGGATTACAGTCCTGAAACAATCATTGATCACCTCTACAGCCCTGGACAAGTCACCCAACTTCTTTGGGATTCCATTTTCTTATTTATCATCTGAGCCTATTTGACTTTGTGACCTCTGAGTTCCCGCCAGCTATACTAGGTTAGATCCTTTGAATCTAATGGTTCCTTCAATAAAGTAGCCATGTGTACTTTCTTTTAATATTGTCAGGTTCATTACAGATTTGTTTTTAAAAAACATGAGCCAAAGTTTCATTTATTCATTTTTTGCATTTGAAGTACTCTTCAATGACATCGTTGGCCTGAGATTCTTTGGCATATTCCTTAACTACTACACAACTGCAACCAACCACTTTACTGGATTTCCCCTCACTGTTGATTTTACAAAGCCCTGCCCATTCCCCTAGTTGCTTGTTGTCATCGACCTTAATTAGGTTGATTTGGTGTTCAGCACAAAGGGCCCCCACCAACTTGACATACACGGGCTCATCACAGTTGGATGCAAGCATACAAAGATGGGCTTGGTGCCTGTCTAAGGCTTTGGCAGACTCCACGTGCAAGGTCATGGAGGACAAGAAAGGTCTTTGGCACCTTGTGTAAAGCAGCTTTAACGTCCATTCCACCTCCAGCAGCAATGGCTTTCTTGGCCATGGCAGTGGGTTATCAGTGAAGCTGAATCTTGAACTCACCCAAACCTCCACCTCTGTGCTCCTCAGCAGGGAAAAGCCACTATAGATTTTTTTAAAACTATATTTATTATAAAATATGAAAATTAACACATCAGATAAGTAGTATCACTCTCATTTTATGAGGTCAGCTCATTAATTCAAGAAAATATCTCTTGTTTATTCACGTTTTGCACATTTGCTGCTTTATTCTAGAGCCACGTTGCAATCTACATCAGAAAGTAGATTCTATTTTTTTTTTTTTTTGAGACAGAGTCTCACTTTGGAGCCCTCAGAGTGCTGTGGCATCACAGCTCACAGCAACCTCCAACTCCTGGGCTCAAGCGAGTCTCCTGCCTCAGCCGCCTAAGTAGCTGGGATTGCAGGCGCCCACCGCAGCACCTGGCTATTTTTTCATTGCAGCCGTCATTGTTGTTTTGGCGGGGCCAGGCTAGATTCGAACCCGCCACCTTAGGTGTATGTGGCTGGCGCCTTAGCCCCCTGAGCCACAGGCACCGAGCCAGACAGTAGATTCTTCATGTAACCTATTTCAAAGAACCACAATTTTTTTCTGGTGGAACCAGCATCGGTCTTGTTAAGTGACTCTTTTCATCTCATTACCAGGATTTAGTCTAGATTTCTACTCTAAAGCGACATCAACTTTGTATTTCTTTGTACAGAATCAGTTGTTCGCCTACCGTTCTGCCATTTCAAATCACAGATCAAAAATAGATGGCCTGGAAAAAGAGCTGAGTGATTTGAATCGTGAGTTTGAGACTTTGCAAGAAAAGGTAATATGTTGGGTTAACTTACTTTTTCCTCTTTCACAATTTTTTTTTAGGTCTTTCTTTCCTCAGTCAACTTAATTTGGTCCTAATCAATTGATTTTTCGTATAGGCACAAATGAATTCCAGAAAAGCACAAACATTGCGTAACAATGTTGACCGGACAACCCAAAGCGTAAAAGAGTTGGACACGAAGATTAAAAATGTCATCCGGAATGTGCACAGTAAGAAGAGTTACTCAGCTCTACTACATTTTTTTTTTGTTACATAATCTTTATTGTACACAGAAAGAATTCCTTTGCAGAGGTCAACGTTATGAAAGGGATCCCCTGTGGTACTAAAACAACTAATATGAAACCTTCACGAAAGTTTCTGCCTTTTTGTTGTTGTTGCTTTGGTCTGCTGGAGCCCAGAATTCCCAGTTTAATAAACTACTTGATGTTTTTTAGTTCTCTTGAAACAGATCTCTGGGACAGATGGAGGAGGGAACAATGTGCCTTCAGGTGACTTTTCCAGAGAGTTGGCTGAGGCTGAACGCATGATGAGGGAGCTGCGGAACCGGAACCTGGGAACGCACCTAAGAGAAGCAGAAGCTGAGAGAAGAGAGGCCCAGCTCTGTAAGGACTTCCCCAAATTCTTGCATCCCTTCCCTTCTAATTGGCGTGAAAGGACAGTGTGCAGATGGCAGCATAGAGCTCCCAGTGGCAGGTGGAAAGTCTCACCATTTCCGCAGATGTTTCTGTTGGGTCATATCATGTAGTGAAAATAGGTAACTCCCCCCCTCCCCCAGAGGACCAAGATCCTTTTCTCCAAATTACCGAGACACTATAGAATATAATATCTTACCATCATGCAAAAAAAAAAAAAGAAGAAAAGTTTCCTCTCCTAAAAGTTAGATATTGAGACTTTCTTTCCCTTTTTTAACTGTATTTTCTTTTCCTGACTTTCATTCACCTCTTCCCAATTTTCTAGTTAGATCCTTTTTAACAGTCACTTCACCACTGTTGGATTTTCGAATCACAAATTGATTTTAGCCTTACTAGAGGTTGCGTATCCTTTATCCGAAATACTTGCAACCAGATGTGTTTCCAGTTTTTTTCCATTTGAGAATATTTGCATGTCCTTAATGAGATCTCTTGGGGATAGGACCCAAGCCTAAACACGAAATTCATTTATGTTTCATTTACACCTTATACACATAGCTGAAGGTAATTTTATACGATATTTTTAATAATTTTGTGAAACAAGGTTTTGGGCTGCATTTTGACTATGACCTGTTGTGTGAGGTCAGGACTGGAATTTTCCACTGTGGCATGGTGTCATGTCAGCACTCAAAAAGATTTGGGTTTTAGAGCATTTCAGATCTTAGATTCTCAGATTAGGGAATACTCACCCTGTTCTACACAAAAAATAAATATACTAAAGGTTTTCATTAGGAAAAACGTCTCATTAGTTGAAAACTGAGAAATAAATATTAGTTTGGTGCATTATTTTTTCAAGTACTGATATTCATCCTTTAATAAAATGATGTATCAGTGGTTAATATACAGATAATAACAGATTTCCTGCAGCATTTTTATTGTTCAAATTTAACATTAATCTCAGCTTTTGATTGTAAGAAGGTGGTGTTAGCCGCAGAAGGAATGTGACCTTTATACTCCACAGGTGAAGTTCAAGACTCTAGCTTGACTGGTCCCTTAACCTTAGG